CTGCACACGCGCCTCCGTCAGGTCAATCTTCATAGCAATTTCTTCCCGCGTGTAGATATCAGGATAGTGTGTCTCCTGTTCATGAAAATTTATTTCGTTAATATATAAAAGAAATAAGTCCGATTATATTTACATTTACTTGATGTAACAATTGTAAAATCTATTTGATGTAACATGTGAATACAGTTGTTTAATTCATATGCTTGTTAGTGAAAATAGATAATTTAGATAATAAACTCATTATCATTATAAAAAAATGCCTTTTTTTAACTTTGTTGTTAGTAAGGGCGGTATTGTTGTTTTTATCATTAGTCCGTTATCAGTATCTCAGTCTATTATCATTATCATCATCATTATTATTTTTTATAATTATGTATTATCATTATTATCATTAATACTAGTAGTAGTGTTATAATTATCATTATTACTAGTAGTCGATTGTCATTATCATTACTATATTATTATTACATTATCATTATTTAACTGTTATTTTATTACTCTTATTATTATTATCATTATTATTATTATGATCATCAATATTCTTTTTATCATTATCATTAGTATTATCATCATTACCATTATTACTATAATTATTGTTATTATCATTATCATTACCTTCACCATCTTTGTTGTTATTATTATCATTATCATTATCACTATTATTATCATCGTTATGATTATAATTGCTATGATCATCCTCATATTATTATTTCATTACTGTTATTATCATTATTTTCATCATAAATATCACCATTATTACTATTTATTATTATTATTATTATCAATATTATTATCATTATTACTGCTATTATCATTTTTTCATCATATCACCATTATTACTATTATATTATTATCATTATTATTATTATTATTATTATTATTATCATTAATATTACTATAATCATTATCATTATTATCATTATCATTATCATTATTATTATCACTATTATCATTACTATTATCATTATCATTATCATTCTAATCATCCTTACTATTATCTTATCATTATCATTGCTGTTAAAATTATTGTTATCATTATCATTACCATTGTTGTTATTATCATCATTATTACTACCATTATCATCATTATCATTAATAGCATTATTATCATTATCATAAATCATTATTTTCATTATCATTATTATGCTTATTATATCATTATCATTATTATCAATATTGTTATTAATATCATTTTTATCATCATTAATGTCATTATGATTATTATTATCACTGTCATTATCATAAATAACATCATCATCATTATCTTTATCTTTATCTTTATCATTAACTTTGTCATATATTTTTTGTTTTTATTATCATTATCATCAACAATATCATTATTTTTCTATTATCATTATTATTATTTATCATTATCATTATATTATATCATTATCATTCATATTCATTTTTATTATCACTATTTCATTATCATAATCATTATAATTATTATTATTACTATTATCGTCATCATTGCTATTATCAATATTATCATTATTTGATTTTCATTACCATTATTATCAGTACTATTATCAATATGGTTATTATAATTTTATCATCAGCATTATTGCCATTATCATAATTACTATTATTATTACTATTATTATCATCAACATTATCATTATCATTAACTTTATTATTATCATTATTTTTTTATCATTATCACTATCATTACCATTATTATTATCATTCCCATTAATATCATTATCTTCGTTGTCATTATCATGATAACATTGATAGTAAAAAATATCAAAAGGAATGATCGTCATTACCATTATCAACATAAGCAGTAACACCACCATTCTTATCATCATTAATAATCAACATTACCATCGTTACAATGATAACCAACATCGTCGCCATCACGATTACAAACCATTCATCCTCTGTCACAATCATCACAATCCTTATCCTTATCACAATCCTCGCCTCACCTGAAACGCCCTCTCGAGCTCCTTGAGTTGCGCGGACGTGAAGGTGGTTCTTATCCGCCTCTGCTTCCTCTTCTCGGACAGGACCCCCTCGTGGCCGCCGTACATCTTGTATCCTAGGCCGGCTGCAGGAGGGTGAGGGGGAGAAGGAGAGGGGGGGGGAGGGCAAGGGCGGAGGAGAGGGAGGAGGAAGGGAGGAGGAAGGGAGGGAGGGAGATGGGAAGGAATGGATGAAGAGAGGAGAGAGAGAGAGAGAGAGAGAGAGAGAGAGAGAGAGAGAGAGAGAGAGAGAGAGAGAGAGAGAGAGAGAGAGAGAGAAGAGACAGAGACAGAAGACAGACAGACAGACAGACAGACAGACAGAGACAGAGACAGACAGAGAAAAAGAGGGAGACAGACAGACAGACAGAGAGTGTATGGGGAGTGAGGGAAGGAGGGAGAGAGAGAGAGTTTTGTTAGTCTTTGTTAGTATGTTGACTACGGGGAAGTAGGGTAGAACTGGAGATATTATGGTAGATTTGTCGGTCTACTGATATCTATGGCTATAACAGGACCTTTTTTTAGTAAGTTTG